ATTTTAGATGATACAAATCTTATTTTTGTAATTTCTAAAAATGGGGGTGGTTATAATGTAATAGAGTGATTTATTTTCCAGTTTTTATTTATGTTCTAATTTTCGACACTTGTGCCCATCACAAGCAGCCACATCAGCCATTATGATCTCCATGCTCGAAGAGATATAATGTTAGAAGGGAGGGAACAAAGTAGCAGAAATATCATATTTTAAAAAACTATCAGACACAATCATTTGCTCCCATCATTTCTACTCTCTTCTCCTCCTTCCTCCCACTTTCTCCATTCCTCGAGTTTAAGAATAAATCTTTGCTCTTTTGCACTTCAGCATCGCCATGAAAAGAGCATGGCTTGGCTAACCTGCTGGTTCCAGGAGGAAGATGAGGGACTTGGGAACTGAATTGCCCCATCTGTAACTGGCTCTAGGAAAAAAATTCAATGACCTATGTATGTTTATTATAATCCCCTCCCTGTCATGTTTTCGATTCTGAGGCTAGTAGGGATTGATAACCAAAACCCTGTAACTTTTAACTAATTGTTTGACTTTTTTAAGTTGTTTCCCTGGAAATACTGTAATTTCTGTAAGACAAAGGAGTTGAGATTATAAAGGCCCCTGCACAGGCTTCCTGAAACCAAGACTCACCGTGCTCCACTACCTGCTCCGATGCACACAGTTCCGTGTTAATTTCAACACAACTTGCTCCAATGAGTGTTGCGCCTCTTTAAAAAACCTGAACTCTCTGGTAGTCGAGGAGATGGATTTGAGGCTGATTCCCTGTTTTTCCCACAGATGTCTTTCATATTAAAAATTTCTTTCTTCTTTGGCAATCTTCATTATCTCAATAATTGGCTCTCTGTGTGGGAAGTAACTGGACCTAGGCAGAAACCCCCTCGCGGTTTGATAACACATCCTGGGCAGCTGGAATCTGCTGCCTTAGCTTCCTGCAGAGCTGCAATGAGAACCAGAGATCAGTCAAAGGCCTCTGAGCACCCAGTCAACTTGCAGATGTATGAATGATAATCCATGATTATTGCCTTAAATCCCTGAGTTTTTTGGTAGGTATGTGGCAATAGCTAACACATATAGGGGAAGTGGGACAGACACCAAGAAGCAGAGCCGATACGGGCAAGGATGTCACTAGAGGAGACGGAGAAAGAGTACAATCGTCCCCCATTATCCATGATTTCACTTTCCAGGATTTCAGTTACTGATGTTCAACCATTAAACAAAAATATTAAATGGAAAATTCCAGAAATAAATAATTCATAAGTTTTAAATTTCGTGCTATTCATAACGAAATCGCTCACAGTTTCACTTTGTCCTGCCCAGGACATTATTTTGTGCATCTACTGGGAATCTTAGAATGTATCTCCTAGGGATAAGGGGAAACTGCTTTAATCAGAAGAGAGAAATACAGGATAACAAATTGTTAGTGTAAGCAATTATGGAGATAAAAAGTTAAGGAATAATCAAAACAGTTCCATAAACTATCCAAATTCTTAGGACCATATGTGTTTGCAATATAGAATTTTTCAGACTTTATAAGTTATTAGAATGCATAAATGATATATTTGTAGCATTCATCAACAGGTTCTAGGACAACACCTTATAACACTTCATTATGAAGTAAAACAAATGAATATTCACACTAAGTACAATAAATAAAGACTATAAAATTCATGTCAGTTCAAGTCAGGTTTGGCTTCCTAATGAGTCATAAAAGATGTTTTAGTTTTTGGAGCTTTCTGGATTTCAGAACTGCAGGTGAAAGACCTATAATATCAACATTGCAGAAAATTATAGGAGTACAAAAAATTAGAACTGTTGACTTGAATATTAAGGGTAATACCTTGCTGGACTAGCTAAGGTTTAAAAAAAGTCTAAGAAATAGATACATTCAGTGAAAAGTTCAAGCTCTTAAAGAAAAAGTTAAGGAAGGATACACACCCCCTCCCTATAGGTAGTTGTCCTAGGGATTTATGTCCCCCCAACCCTAATTCATATTCCTGGTATTATTATTATTTTTCAGAATTTAGATGAAAGAGATAATTTACTATATTTTCTGTGCACACAATAAAGGAGGTCTGCAGAGCCTGAGCAGAGTATAATGTGAGTACAGAGGGCTGCGTGTGAAGGGCTAGCTTGAATAATCCCACTCCAAACTCAATCGTTTGGCAATATTCCCTGAGTGGCTTCTCAGCATGTGTTTTAAAGTAGTCTCTAGTTCATGAAAGACACAAAAGTGTCATTATTTCTGGAAAGGTAACTAGAACTGGCAGAAAATATAGAACTTGTGGAAAACACAGGCTCAAAATAAAAGATTCTTGTCCCAGCCCGATACAAATACATCTAATAATTTAACAGCGTGTTACAGGCTTAATTCACATCTTTGCTGGTGATTTGTATGCCAATGATAAGAATTGTTCAGAACTAGTTACTATGCTAATATTTCACAGTCTCTAAACTTATCCTTTAAATATTCTGTACATTTAATCTCTATCCTGTTATAAAATGTATTATCATTACTATTATTATTGTCATTGGGATATTAATGTTAAAATTTTACAAATTATTTTGGAATGGTATTAAATTGGATAGCATATTATCTTAGAAATGTTAAAATACAATTAGTAAGTGTTCTTCATTTAATAAACACATGTAGAAAATTATCTCATTTGATATTATTTATCTATTGGCTTAATAATCGCATTTGTTGACTAGGTGATTAAATGAAAAATATGTTTTTAACCACCTACAAATATTGGATATCTCTCAAATAAAAGTGTTTATTATTTAAACAAGCCACATGTATTTGAATGCTAATGCATTTTTCTTAATTTTCAATATTCTTCAATTTTTTATATAAACCGAATGGTTATGTTGTCATATATTTATGGATTAATAAAATTTCCATTGAAGTCAATAGAAAAATTTTGTCCATATTTTGTATCTGTTATGTTTGTTTTCATCAAGGTACTATGAACAGTTAAAACTCTATTATATCTCTATGCTTGCTTGGCTTAAATGTAATGTTCTTCAACATTTTATTTCTACATACTTTTTTTAATCAATCATTGTCTATTCAGAGGTTTGACTACATTAGAATCCAAAATAAATATATCAGGTAGAATGCTCACATATTAAAGCATTCAAAATGCATTTTATATTAAAATGTTAACATTGCATGTTATCTCTCATAAAGTTGGCGAGTCTTCCATATTACTATTTTCCCCAAAGATATTGATAAACAAAAAGGCTTTCTAGTGCTTCTTTTTGTTAAAAGATTGAGAATATCATTGGGATTTCTTCAGAATAAAAGAAGCTTTAATCGGTTAGCCATCCCGATACTGTATTATGAATGTCATTATCTCAGAGAGATGAATCTATTCTAAGAGTCTGTTAAAAATGAATCCAGTTCAGAAGAACATGGATCATAACAAAAGATAATTTTCAGTATGTTGTAAAAGAGTGACAAAAGATTTCATGTTTGTAGAAAAC